ACTTCGCCTGGCCAGAAGCCGAGGCCTCGGTTTACTGATGACAAAACAAATTCATTGCCGCCCTGCCCCCCCCCCCCCCCCCCCCCCCTAAGCCACGTTACATGACCTCGTCGCAACCTAGTAACCGCTCTTCTTTCCGTCTCTGGAACCCAATCTATTCGCCTGACTCACATGAGTGTGGCCGAGATGTAGCCAAGAACACCACATCATGACACGCACAAGGCATTCGAGAATCGACCTGAACAAGATATGTGTGGAATGCATAACAATAAAAGAAAAACGAACGAAAGATGATGCCCCAACAATAAAACGAAAATAATCGATGCAACGTGAATGGCACAGCGAAGGGATCGTTTTGGAAACAGCTAATGACTGATCCGCCGCATGCGCGTCGCGCTACATCTCGCTGATGCAAGACCAGAAACTCGACTTGCTCAGACAGGAAGACGATAACCATGATTGGCCGCTGCCATGACGTGAAGGAAGCACCGAATCCGTTTTTCCTGTATTGCGTTCAGCCTTGTCATTGGCTCCGACCCGTCCTGGAACCGGCGAGACTTCCCCTGGGCTTGACTGACACGGCTAGAAAACAAGAAACGACCGGCGGTTCCTGACCCCCAAAAAAAACCCGGAACAATGCAACTGAACGAAAAAGAGCATCTTTTCTGGCCCTGGCTAGTAGCCGAGACAGCTGCCGGCAACTCAACCTTGCCTCGGCTAAACTCCGAATGCCACACCTGCGACTTTGATAAGTACGGACTGCAAGAAATCTAAAAGAAAAATACCTGCCGCAAGTCTTGAGGGAGCATTTGTGCAATAGCTCTGAGTGCCGACACCGTTCCCGGCTTGTGTCGCGCTGCCAGAAAGTTGGTCAGGAGAGCCTAGCAGATCAGGACAGAGAGAGAAACCGTAGTCGCCACATCATTGCCGACTCGACAAGTGCAGCAATGCAACCTCGGCAGCCAGCCGAAGCTTTTCCATTGCCTCGCCCCCGATTCGGAGATCGCATGAATATATGACGTTCTCTTTCCGGAAACGACGAAGAATGTCTCGGACGAAGTTTTCAAACTTGTACTTGGCAATCACTGGTCGTTTGCGAACCTGCGTTCCACGAAGGTGTCTCTCCGCAAGGCACCGATGAACCTCCGTTTTCCCATCCTTCGAAGCCTCTCCTTTAACTCGGACGCCTCCCTGCTTCGTCAGGCGACTTCCGCCCGCTGCATCGACAGGAACGTCGTTCTCTGATGGTTTCTCGATCTTCACGGAGGCTAGAATGCTTTTTTTCGCTCCGCAAGCGGCCGTTTTTCCTCTGACCCGTCGTAGAACCGGCGAGAGTTGGCCTAGGCTTGACTGACAGGGCTACGAAACCGGAGACGGCCGGCGCTTGACCACCAGGATGCTGTAACTAAACCAAATCGAGCTACTCTCCTGAGCCTGGATACTAGCCGAGACATCCGCCGACGGCGTAAGGTTGCCTCGGTCGAAGATGGAATGCCGCGACAACCACAGCAGGCGACAGCACCGGGCAACACCATCCCGCCCGGAGAAAAAAAACACCACAATCCCACGTGATGGTGCCTAAAAGTATCAGTGATCGTACCGAAACGTATGAGTAAACAAGGACACCAAGCTCCGCTTGACCTTGGCGACCGCCAGGAACTTGCCTCGGTTCAGTTGAAGCTTGCTAAGGAGGCCTCGACGTCGACTAACAAAGGTCCTGAACCAACCCCTGAACTGCGGCTGTTTGTCAGGGCACATATAGCTGAAGGAACTCTGCGAATAAATGAAAAACCCAACAAATGCAGGTGCGGTGTGTGTGTCGCTACTGAACGCCAAAAAACTCGGCTTGGCCTGGCCAGAAGCCGCAGCCATTTCCGCCTTCTTCGCCTCGAAGCCTAACCCGGAAGCGCCGACATGGCTTGGGTCCGAGCACAACAGGTTTTTGAGCCACGAAGATGTCGGCGACACTTGCAAGGTCCTCGCTCTGCAAGCTCACTGGTGCCTTGCGAATGGACAGCCTGAGAAAAAGCAGGACCGAGCTGCCAGCATAAAGAATTGAAGCGTTCGACGTCGCCTGGCCAGAAGCCGAGGCCTCGGTCAAGGATCCCAGTTTACGGACCGCAATCCAAATTAATTGACGCCCTGCCCCCCCCCCCCCTTGCCGACTGGTGCTACATGACCTCGTCACAACCAAGCCACCACTCCTCGTTGCGTCTCTGGGCCCCCCTCAGTCGCCTGACTCACATGGAGATACCCAACTAAAGAGTATAATAACGCGCAGAAAAAGGCATTTAAGGATCGATATCATTTAAGGATGTGGCTGGTATGCAAAACACATTTGCATGATCGATGATGCAGCAAGGGAAGGATAACGATCACTGCGACGCGCGCCGATCTGTGCGGGTGCCGCGTCTGAAATACTGTGTTACAACCTCTTCAAGAAAGGGCCAGGTCCTGGCAGGAGGACCAATGAACTGGATAAAAATCTCGGGAACGCAGGAGAAAGGATGCTGCTCCCCGAAAGGCGCCATGAGCTCCCGAAACAGCTGCAGCACGCCGTAGGGATTCTTCAGTTTGCTGGCCACGCGCTCCTGTGTTACACGTGGCCAACTACATATCTTGTACATTGTCTGCTCCACCCATTCTCTGGTGAAACACTCGACACGCTCAACGGGCGTGAGGCCCGCCGCCTTCCTCGAGGATGCAGCTGCAAAAGCAAGCTCGTAGCTGCTCCACAGTACCTTGTAGAGCATCTTCTGCATCTGCTTGTCCCCCGCGAGATGAACGAAGGAACAGTGCCATATAGCTTTGTCCAATAGCAACTTCTCGAAACGCTCAAGATGCTTGCCGATGACTGCCTGTTCCACTCGAGTCTCTATGTAATCTGGTCGCTCCGCATGCAGAGCTTTCCAGACTTGACACAAAGCCGGACACAGGTCCAGGTCGCAGAACCAGGCATCGTCCTTGTGTTTACGAAATAACTGGTCCAGCACAGCGTCCACGAACATCGCCGCGGCCTCCAAACACGGATGATTCTGCAACCTCCAAGAGCTGGCTTCCTGGTACAAACGCCCAGAAATGGATTTACACAATTCCAATTGAATCGAGGCTGCAACATGTCCCATGTGGTTCTTCTCGAAAGCAACCTGTACTGCGTTCTGTACCAGACTTTCAACTTCCTCCTCGAAAACTGCTGCTTCGCCAGAGCTCCTGTGTCTAGAAGAATCACTGGAAGAATAGGAAGTCTTGCAAATTCTGCTGCAAGCGGTCGAAGAGACTGGAGCCGGTTTGCGTTTGGTGCAAGTACACGAGGGTCGGAATGACGCGTGAGGGGATGAACCTCCAAATGCCTGCAACTCGCCCACGGGCTCGGAGCTCGTCTCAAGCAGAGACGATGTCCGTGCCGTTTTCGCCTCCGCCTGGAGGTGCGGAAGCTCGCGAGATTCGACCGAATCCGCAGGAAGCAGGCTCCCCTCGGCCGCTACATCCCTTTGCGGCGAAGACACCCTGTCGACCGTGTTCAATCCCTCCTCACTATGCAGAGTGTAGAGCGAGCTGACCATGCGGCCGACCCACTCCAAGGACAGTGGTGGCCTCCACGATTGTTCCTCCCCGAGATAGCTTGCCACCTGGACTTCGACTTCGTTCAAGTAGCCCAGCGAACGCTCCGTAAATTCCCAATCCCCGTGCGCTTCTATCTGGTACTTGAGCAAAGGGAGCAACTCTCCCGTATAATAGCCTTGATAATAGCTTTCCTCATAAAACTTCACGGCCTTCTCGACCCATTCGGATCTGTGAAGTGACCTCACAGTTCCCATCATGGGGGCTCCCGGAAGCTGTTGCCTCGCAGGCCGCCGCCGGGAACGAGCGTGTGACGCCATGCCAGATACCCGGTAACCTGCCTTTTGTTTTTATGTTCGGGAAACTTCAAGAAAAGTAAGTCGCGTGAGCCTGACTGCAAAGCTCTACAAAATGTCTCTAGGCAAAACACAGCTTGGCCCGGCGAGACGCCGAGGCCTCGAGCCAGCGTCGAAGACGCGGTCAAGACAGCTTTTCTAATCGAAGAACACCTACAAGAGTGAAGCTAGCGCACCCACACTTGCCCCATGCCGGCGAGCCTGAGCGAAGACGCTGACCTGCGTCGCCGCCTTGCTCCAAAAACTGCGAAATGCCGCAGCTCGACCACGCCTGAGACGGAGACCACGCGGACCGCCGCGGCGCGAGGTCCGTCGCCTCTTAGGCGCGGATGCCGCGACCGCAGGAGCGTCCTGCTGCGACTCCGACTCTGCATCGCTGACCGTCTCCAAATCCCTGCAATGCGGCTGGTCTGCGATTGACATAGCACACGGCCCAAAAGACACTGCGCCTTGTAGAAGGCGGGCCACGGCTTCCGCAACGCGCTTGTGCTCTGCCTATCACACCGAGAATGAATGCGGGGTCGGCGGAACCCGAAAAAATGTAGACGTCGTTGATGACACGCCGCATCACTGCATCGCTGTATTGGGCAATGTCGAGCAGCAACCGTGCCTCAAGTGCATGACTCTAAAGCAACTAAATCTGAGCTTGCCACTGACTCCCAAAAGACCTGCAGATAGACTGCCTGCCCCACCTTCTCCTCGCCGACTGCCCCGAGAGCGCCCCTTTGCAAAAGAAGCTCGCCCACGTGCTTGCGCATCTCGGACACGCGCGGCAGAACTATTCATCGCAATGGCAACAGAATTTCTGCCGCTCACAACCGGAACTTCTATGCTTTCCGCACATGACACTATCGAACGCACCGCACATCCTCCGACAACAAGCTTGAGCCTTTGCGAACTTACTGAAATCATGTGCTTGGCTTGGCCAGTGGCCGAAGCCTCGAACCGATAAGGAAGATGCAGAGGACATGATAGTAAAGAACCAGACGCACCGCTGCAGACAACGATGGAACGGAATCCCCCCTGTTTCCTACGCTCGTTACTTCAAACACTGCGATTCCTGCCAACCGGACATACTCCTACTCATTGCGACTTGCAATCCTGGTTCGGATACATCCTGCCGGGATCCTCATCGGACGAAGGTACGCTTCGATGAGCCTGGTGCCGCAGCCTTCCAGCTGGAGCTTTCGCCTTGGCATGCATCCCCGCAGACAGAAACGAGAGATTGGACTCCTCCGAAGGCGATGTGCTCGCAGACGAAGCAACGGGGATACGTCCTGGCGACCGCCGAACGGATTGCGCTTCTTTGAACCGAATGACTTCCGCTTCCTTGAAGTTGGCATGCGTCATAGGAGATCTCTCAGGAACCGGCAACGGCTCGAATGTCATCTCCCTGAAAGCTTGCCTATACTCCTCGTTGTCGACCACGCAGAAAGGTTCGCCCGCAGAAACCGATTCTTCCTTGCGCCAGCAGACATCAGACCTCTGGGAATATTTTTCGATCCATGGCTCCAGGCTATACATAGGTTCTTCCCACGTCCAATTCTTGCGCCTAGGAGCAGACTGTTCCTCGGAGCGATCCGCAACCGAACCTGTTTTGTTGGAACACAGATCCGAAGACTTATCGGGTGCAGGTGCTCTCGAGTCGGCCGCGAAATGGAGAAGAAGCTGAATCAAGTCGGATATATCAAGCTTCATCTGCAAGTCCACACTGACACAAAGACATGGTCGACCCGAACGCGGGTCGAGATTTATATCCGCTTTGGAGGCTGGGCCGGTGGTCAAAGTCAACGGTAAAGAGTTCGGAGCCATTGCAACACGAGACTAAATCGGTCCACTGCAGTAATCTGTGTTGCATGAAAATGCTGCGAGCACGAGAATGCCTGCTGCCTGAAATGAGAGTACGTCACGGCTTGACCCGGCCAGTAGCCGAGGCCTCGAACCGAGGAGCGAGCGTCGCTTCGAGAAGCTATAAACACATGGTTAACCCTGGCAGACGATAGAACATACATAAGCCCGGCCTTGCGATGTTTGTCGTCTTCTTGGCTTTCTGCTAGAAAATGCAAACCTCACAGAGACGGCGATTGGAACTCGAGATCTGCTTTCCTTTCCTTCGGTCTGTTAGGACCGACATCAAAAGAGCAGCTGCTGTGTCAGACTAACAAAGCCGTCAGCCATGCAGCCAATGATCCGATACAACCCCAAAAAATATACTCCTCTCGGCCTTCCGACACCCTGACCCGCTAAAATGCCTGCTGCCTCAAGTGCAAGAACGTCACGACAAAAGTCAGACAGTAGCAGAGGCCTCTAACCGATGAGCGAACATCGCTTCGAGCAACTGGAAAAAGCCCGATAACACTGGAACAAGCCGAACGTGCAAAAGCCCTGCCTTGCCCTCCTCGTAATCTCTTCGGCTTTCTTCTGAGAGCTGCAACCTCGCGAAGCCGCCGATTATGACTCGATAAATACGTTCAGTTCATTCAAGCTTACAAAAGCAGCATAGAAAGGTCGCTGCTGTATTGTCCCTAAAAGCCACCAGACTCACGGTCGATGATTGAATGCAACCCAAGAAAAGTACTTCGCTCAACCTTCTGACGCAACCGACCCGCTGGGGCCCCCGACGTGCGAAGAGAAGCGAAGCTTCCACGACAGAAGACAGCGGGAGGTAGAGCTGCTTGTTGACGCATGAACAGTACGCGCTCAAGCTTCGGACAACTAAAAAGGAAGGCTCCTGACCTTCGGAAACTTAGCTTAGACTGCCCCGAAGGATTCGTTCCCAGTGTCTAGCAAGAAAGCAAGAGACCGTGGCGTCAAAACTCCAGGTGCAGAAATAAGGATTCCAAAAAGTAATGATTTCGACGGTCTGGAGAATGCAACATGGTTTGGAATGCATGCGCCACGAATCAAAACAGCAGCCCCCCGGGGATTCCGACTCGCTTACTTGCAAGGCTGCCCTAAAAATAAACCCGCACCAGAGAAAGCATCGAGGTGCTGGCTTACTTTGAAGTGCTCTGAAATAGAGCGTAAGAACCGAAAAACGCAAACCCCGAGCCGTAACCTGTGCATCCAAACGTGCTCGGATCCTGCAAAGCGCAAACCCGGAAGGGACCACCGAAACGTGCTTTTGCAGACCCGAAAAGCACGTTTTGGAGGGTCCCGAGCCCGTGCCGCGCAGAGGCAAGACAAGCGAGGTAACTGCTGCTTTCGTCCCCCTGGGTCGCTCGTATTGGTTCCACATAAATAACCTTGGCTTGGCCTGGCCAGGAGCCGAGACCGCGCGTGCACAACGCCCGAGAGCCAGCGCAAACTCCGAACAGATGTCCAGAACGCACTTTTGCAGGCTCCAAAAGTACGTTTCGGAAGGATTGCAGCGACTAAACAGCTACAAACTGCAAACAAGAATAATGCATGATACGCGACAGGGCTGCACCGGCACGTTTCCTTAAACCCATGCGCTCCGATCCAACATTCTTTCCGATGCATGTGCCATGATGCAAAACCACCACCCCTGTCGAGGATTTCAGTCGATGACTTACCGTCACATGCCACGTAACCGGGGCCGAAAGCCAACACAGCAAAGCCGAATCATGTGGCCCTGGCAGCACTTTTGCAACTTCAAAGCCAAAACACGCGAACTCGAACATGCACGCCGAATGCAAGAAACCACGGCCCTGCCGACGTTTGGTACACTTTCACGGCCGGAGAACATATCACAATCACAAGTGACCAACTCCGAATTCGTTGGCCCTGCCAACACAAAACGCACGTGCGCGCGTACAAGCGAACGGCGGCGTCTTTGCACAAGCGAACGGGCAAATCTTTGCACAAGTGACAGCCCAGCCGAATCTTCCAGCCCTTCTCGTTCAGAAGGACTGTCGCCAGATTCGGCTCTGAGCCGACCGGGATCTGCCAGAAGGCAGATAGCAAACTTCCGGCTGCAGCCGGGGGTGAAATATACAAGCTTGTGCCCGAGGCCGAATGCCAAACCTCCACACTGCCAGCTGCCGGCTTTAAGCCAACCTTTGAAATCTGATCCGTGAAGGGGAAGATCGTCAGCTTGCCTGTCTTGGCTTTGCCCTCCAACAGACAGCACGTGGGATTCTTCAAAAAGGTCAACTCCTCTTCACAGTGCGAGTACTTCAGGAAATACTCGCAGCAGAGCTCGAAGAACTCTCCTCGGAGTCTCTCTTGGCTGCAAGCCTCCGTATTATGAGGCAGTCGGTCCACAGAGTCAGACACCACTTCGGGTGCATCTCCGCTGTACAGATCGAAGAATTTCTTGAGCTCGCTCAGAGGCACCTCGACCTTCTTGTCCCAGCTCACTGGACAACACAGCGAGAAAGAGCCGTGGCTCCGGCCGATTTTCTCCAGCTTCCAAGGCCAGATGTCCTGATACTTCTGCTTGCCTTTGTACAGGTTGCCCTCTGCGAAGCCTTGCAGCTTCATCAGGAAGGCCGGGTCCTGCATGTTCTCCAAGGTCGCAGGGGCCGCATCAGACTGCCCATCTTTTGTAGCAGCAGCCGGTGTTGCACCGGCACTCTTGCCACCCATCTCGTGTTCGTACAAAGTCAGCAAATTGGCCAAGGACCCGTGCTCAAGGCCTTCTTGCCCCGACTTCTCTTTCTTGCACATGAAGAGGGTGCTGCGAACCATCAGGCGACCGAAGCACTCAATTGCCTTGGCACGTGCACTTGCCTCCGTCACATTCTGAGTGTGAGCCCAGGCACGACAAAGAAGCTCCTCCCAATCCTTTACAGCATCTTCCATGCCTTTCGCACAGAGCCTGCTGACATCGCTCTTGTTCAGCAGCCGAGCCACACCGTCTACCACTTTTGTGGGTGTCAGGTTCGTCGCGATCATCGCAGCCCTCGCGAAAGCATGCGATCGCTCCTGCCCTGCAAACCGGAGGCCGGCGACCGTGGACATGAATTCCTCTCCCAATCTTTTGCTTGCCCCATATTTCAAGGAAAAGTCGTGCAAAAACTTCAGCAGAGGTGCTTCGGTTCCTCCTGCATAGAATCTGCAGAACAACCCGCAAGCGGCCACGGTCTGTGGCGAGGCATCCGGCACCGTGGCTGCTACATCAGCTTGCACAACATCCCAGTCGATGCACAAACCTTGCTCTGCCAGCAACTTTGCTCGGGTCACCATCGCCATGGCGAGCTCCAGCTCGCCTGCCGTTCTTGCAACTCCTTGGGCTGCATTCATGACTTCCTGAACGAAGGAGGCCAGCGAGGGCAGTACTGCATCAACTTCCGCTGACAGCACCAGCCACTCCCATCCATTATCCACGGCCTGCCGAAAGTCCGTAGACAATCGCTGCAACGTGAGCTTGCCGTTGTCCGACACCGTCTCTTGGTCCGAGGGACATGCTGCAATGCAGGCACGGCAAAAGGCCGTAAAGTGACTGCATGCTAACGACATGTATCGCTCATCGCCTCGCACCTCAGCTAGCAGCCCTCCATTCATATCCACTTGCCGCTTGTTGAAACCAAAGGCCTTTTGGCTCAGAGCTCTATCCGTGGATATTTCCATGCAAACACTTCGCTTCAGCTCCATGGAGCTGAAGCCTACAGATTGCACTTGGGCCCCTGTCTTGTGAACTTGTGCTCCATTCAATCCTAACCCTGAGCGATTCGACGGTGCAGGATAGTTTCGATCTCCGTCCATCTCTCCAATGCCGGAGCATCTTTCTTCAATGCCTGCTCCACGGCCGTAGCCCAGGCAGGCTTCATCTTTTCCAAGTTCTCTTGAAAAAACGGCTGCATGGCAACAGGATATGCATTTCTTGTCCGCCCTGCCCCCCCCCCTGTATACACGAAACACCCTTCAAACACAAGTCATTTACGTGCCTAACACAATGCCGTGGACGGAATTCACGCTGGTGACACAATCGGTCACAATCCCTTTGAGGCTGCTCATCTTTCTGTTGAGTGCCGCATTCTGTGACCAGAGATTCCTGTTGTTTTCTTGAAGTGCCAATATTGTGGCATCCTTCTGGTTTATCTCGCTTTGAAGTGCGAGGTTGTCAGACCTCGCTCGCTTCAAAGCTGCCTCTGTCATTTCCTTGCTTTTGTCTGCAGCAAGGGCCCGCTTCCTGTCTTCGTGCACTGCTTGGACGAGCTCCAGTGCTTCGCTTCTTGTTAGGGGATACTCGTTTTTGCGAGTGGTTTCCGGGTCTTCAAAAAACTGGCGAAGGCCTCGCTTGAACTTAATTACTGGGTCGTTGGTCGCAGGCCGTGCTGGCATTGCACTTGCTGCTGTTGTGGCCTCTGTTGGCCTTGCTGGCATTGCACCTGGTGCTGTTGTGGCCTCTTTGGCCGCAGCACACACAGGTGTTGCCGGATCTGATGGCATTGCTACGATGCTACGACACAAAATCGCAAACAATCAAAAGTTGTTGCTTGCTGCAAGCCAAAAGCACTGCAGTATAGCTGGAAACATAGAAAACACGACATGCACCACATATTCAGCGCAAACATGCCATGGATCACATATGGAGCTGCTGCGGGTCCCTTCGGGGTCTGATTTCATGCTGCCCGCCTCTGAAAATGCCTGAAAAAACAAGTTTCGCATGTGAAGGGGACTGTGAAAGGCCGTTGGAGGGGAAGAGCCGGGAGGGACAGCGGAGGGACAGTGGAGGGACAGTGGGAGCGACAGTGGGAGGGACAGCGGGAGCGACGGGAGCGACGGGAGGGACAGCGGGAGCGACAATCGGAGCGACAACAAGCCAACGGGAGCGACAGTGGAGGGACAGTGGAGCGACAGTGGAGGGACAGTGGGAGGGACAGTGGACGACCCAAGAAGAACCCATGACCAAAAATGTGCTTCCAAGCCCAATTCTGGCTTGAAGGCCCTAATGTTCGACAAAATCACACCAAATCTGTGTGAGAACTATCTTTGCCCTTGTAAAACCAAGCAACGCCGAAACTTTGTGCACACAAAGGCCTAAATGAAGCCCTTTACCTCCCACAACCCAGGCCCACGCCCTTCAAGTCAGCTTTTTTTCTTGGAAGACCCGAAGATCTCTGTGCCTCTCCAGTGCAGCGGTGCAAGCCAAGGAATTGTGTCCTGAAACATAAGAAAGTGCCGTCTGTGTGAAAAATATGTACATACTGCATAAACCACATCCTGAAACATAGCAAAACACTGCCTAAGTTCACAAAAGACAACATCACTGACACAATTCCTCAGTGCACAAAACGCACCCCTTGGGCAGGACCGCTAGGGCCGCTAGGGTGCCTCAGCTAGGCAGCTTGGGCTAGGCTAGGGTCTGCCACAAGAGTGGCACCCGAATGCATCCATGCATTGGGTCTGCCACAAGATTGGCATCCTTTGCCTCCAAAGCAGGCTGTGGAGGCACTGTCACCGTGCCACCTGGGCCACCGTGCCCGGCGCTTGGGCCCACTAGCGGCCGCTTGGTGGCGATGGGCCCTGCTTTGGCAGTGGCACGTCATCGCCCATCTCTCTCACCAAACTTCCCATACTCTGCAAGAAGTTCGCAAGAAGCTCGTTCCGCCTGCCGCCCCGGCCAGAGCTCGCAGCAGACCCGGAAGCTTGGCTGTCCGGCGGCCCCGCTGGAGGTGGCATTGGCGATGGCCCTTGCAGCTGTGCTGCCGAGAAGCCCAGGGCCGCGACCGTGTCTGGGCCGGGTGCCACGTATCCCTGGCCTCTGTAGACCGGGATGTCCGGGACGTCAGCTGGCACTGCCGGCTTCTTTCGTGGCTGCCGCTTGGGCTGGTGCGGTTCCGGCGCCGCCCTTGGCCACCCTCACCTTGCCCTGGGAGATGGACTCCTCTGGAAGAACTGAGGAGTCGGGAACCACTTCCGGCTCTGGCACATCCTGTGCCTGCGGCGCTTGGCTGGCGTGTTTTGCTTGGTAGTGCTGCTGGTAGCTGTATTGCGTCTTGAAAGACTTCTGGCAAGCCATGCACCGCAGCCAGTTGCGCTGGATGGTAGCCTCACCTATTGTACGGAGGTGGACTCCATCGTCCTCCTCCTCCTGCCGCTCTTCATGCGGCTTGCGCCACCACTGATGATAGCCCTGGTAGCCGCCTTGCCACGTTGGCGGCGCTGTCACCGGGCTCCACGAACGGTAGCCATCGCGGCCACCGCTGCCACCGCCACGGCCACGGCCGCCATTGCCCCGGCCCATGTGTCATCATCATCGCCGCCGCCACCAAGACCCCGGCGACTGCGGTCTCTGTCCTGCTGGTCCTGGCGGCGGTCCCAGTCTCTGTCCTGCTGGTCCCCTGGTGACGGTCCCAGCCTCTGTCCTGCTGGTCCCGTGCTGGTCCCGCCGGTGACGGTCCCAGCCCTGCTGGTCCCGGCGGGGGTCCACCCAGATCCCAGGAGGGGGATCTGACATTGCCTTCGCCTTCTTTGGCATCGCCTTCACCTCCGGTTTCCTCTTGGAGGAAGAAGCTGCCTCAGCCGCAGCTCTCTTTTTTTCATCTCTCCTTTTTTCATCTCTCTTTCTTACTTCCACCTCCTCCTTTCCCTTCTCATCCCTCCTCTCGGGCGGCTTTCTGTCTTCTCGTTCCGAGCTTGAGCTCCGCATCTCGCCACCACTTTTTCTCTTCGTGGCTTCAGCCGCCTTCTTCCGAGGATCCTCCCCCTCGGAACTGTAGTACGTGTACGAGGGCGACGACGACGTCGACCGTCCTGCAAGGGAGGTTGCTTCTTGGGGATCTTTAAGGTGACCTAGTTTTGGGGTGGGTCTTTATGTCTTTATGTTAGCCTAGTTTTGGGGCTGCTTTAAGTTATCTTAGGTCTTCGTTTGTTCTTAACATGACACTATCCACAGCACCTGGTAGTTGGTTGGCAGAGGTCTGGCTTTGTGCTGCACCTGTACAAGTTGAACTTGTGAGGTCTGCAGTACAAAACCACCTGCTGCCAACACTACAGGTCTGCTGTGGGTCCTTCTACAGGCACAAAAAACTCTATCAATCTTTCCTCTACCACCCCTACCCCAAACTTAAAGCCGCAGTCCTCGTCCTTGCTTCGGGGGTGGCATCCCCACCCAAACTTTCAAACCTTGAAAAGGCTGCGGGAAGACATATACCATGGCACACACTGATGGATTCGGCCAAGAGTACGAGTGCAAGAGGAAAAAGAGAGGCATGTTGTTGCAAAAGCTTGTCAGATTGCGGCAAACGTGCAAAGCTTTATGCTCAAGCAAAAGGTGGAAACCGTAAATGCACTAATCTTGCTGCCTCAGGGGGCCAGCGTTTTCTAATCTGGCTGTCTCAGGGGGCCCAGCTTGCAGGTACACAGTTCAGCGTCCTGAACTGCTTCCCACTCCATGGCATAGCTTCGTTGCATTGGGTCTGCCAAGGAGTGCCCAATGCCCCTGCAACAGTTGATTTGGTAAATGTCCAATGTCTGATTATGTTGAAAAGCAAAAATTGCAAACAGTGTAGGAGTGACCCTCTGCTCCCATGTGCTAGGGAGGTTCACACACACACAGCCCCAAATGGGGCGTACATGCTTCAAGTAGAGTGAAAGGTCTGATGCACGGCAATAGGAGTGAATGGCGCACTTTTCTCGCTGTCAATAGCGATCGGGTGATTGTCGTATTTCTTGATCCGAACAGGTTCTAACAAAAAGCACCGGCATCAACGTGGCTAATGTGGTAACTGAATCCCAATCATGTAGTCGTCGTCGGTTTTGTTCGAAGAAGAAAGCTGGGATTTCAGGAGTTCTGCCGGTCATCTCCCTGATGCGGTAGGAGAAGATCTTGCGTGCTTGGAGAACGTTGTCGCCCAGACACAGCACCACGTGTATGAACATGTGCTTATCTCTGGTGATGCGGTCGGGTGGAATTTCAACAGTCAACCGAAAACATTGTCCTGCCATGGAGTACCATGGAAGGCCGGCCTCGGCAGCCTTTCGCTTTGTCATACGTTTGGTTCTACCAACCGACAAAAGCTTGAACACTGAATGCAAATCAACATGTACATGATGTGTGCTCAAAGCGGTGGCATCCTGACGTTCCTATGCGCATGCTTTTTTGTCGTGCGAAGCGGATCTTGCAGCACTCATCCGTCATGAGAATTAGGGTCCAACAGCGAGTCTGTTGGGACAGTCACTCATGATCTTGAAATGGCAGCGACACCTGAATCCTGCACGTACCAGCATTTTAGCACAAGCGGTTTTGGACCGCTTGTGCTGAATAGTAGGATGCACAATATCGTAAGGTGCAATCGAGTCAGAAGACCAAGGATCTCGAGATGGAGACCGGTGTGGGTCCACAGCCAGGTGTGACGTTGCCGTAGGTGACGCTGATGATGTTGAATGCGAAGACCGTGTCCTCTTTCGTCTTGTAGTGTGTAGGTGTTTGCGTCGTTGTTGTGTTGTGGATTGGGATGGTGGTGAGCTGTTGCGTGTTTTCTTTGTTTTCTTGACTGTTTTGTCCTTTTTGTCTTTGTTGTCTTTCTTCTTTTTTGTCCTCGTTGTGTGCTTTGTTTTTTGCTTGTGTGTGTGACTGACTGCGTGGGAGGATGTGGTGGTGTCGTCCTTCCTCAAGAAGGCATCAATCTCTTCGGATCCCCATAGGCTGCTGTCGTCATCCTCGTCCATCTGTGTGCGATGCTGTCCTAATGTGTTTCAGCAACTGTAGTTCAGAGAAATGGCTGCGGAGTCACAACTGCATTGAGGCATGTGCATACGCTGATCTTCAGAAGAGAGAGAGAGGTACACAGAGACATCAATTGATTGACCGCGCAGACCTGCATGAACTTTTGAGATGATGCTCTTAATGTTGAACCTCATCAGATGTGATGGAGTTCGCAGCACAGCTTTGCTGTGTGATTGTTGGCTGCCGGGAGCAGCAAATGTGCATCTAATTGTCAACTCAGCAATGCTGCTTACGGAGTTCTTGATCGCTTTCGCTTGTTGGATGTAGGAGTTGATGTAGTAGATACTGTCTCCTTTTGGGTAGGAGTCGTTGATGTCGGACGCTGATCAGGTTGCTCCGAATGCTTTCGTATCCACTCTTGAGATGCGATAAAGTACTCTCGCCACCATGAAGAGCCGTTGGTGGCCCAATGCCATCTCCATTGTGATGCCGTCGGAGATCGCGATCTGGTGCGTTGTTCCATGATGCTAACACAACTGGTTGGTTTTCAAAATGCTGCGGGAAATAGTGCATCAATCGCTGCATAACAAACATATGTGAAGTGAGTGCACTGACTGTAACAATTGGCAAAAACGACTATCATTGTTTTCACCGTCCGCTGCAAAGCGCCCGATGACGGTATGAACATGGTTGATCACCTATTGCTGTGAAGCTTCGAGTCGTTCCACTCGTTGCTTTAGCTCTGTGATCTGCCGGGTTGTTTGAAGAATAAACTCGGCTAATTGGTCGCGTAGCGCCCCGTCACTGAATGTGGAAGGTTCGCTTCCAGTTTCCGAATCATAGTCCCGATGCTGTGTCAAAATCTCCATGATGGCCTCAGAGAGAACTTCACGTCGTGCCTCATCGATGGGCGGTGAAGCTGTAGTCGCTGTGTTTGTCGGAAAAGATGCTTCGCTCATGGCTCTATGTCGGGATTCCAATAGGTGTCACTCTGAGGCATAAAACTTCAGAAGGCAAAGTTATGGTGCATATCCGCAAGCAACATATGTTCAAATGCAAGATGTGTGCACTACCTGGCTCTTTTTATACCAGCGGATTCAACAGCACATTCAGGACCAGTCTGGTGTGTTTTGCCTCATAAGGCTCTCGAGAATATCAAGTTGCTGTTTGCACGATGCCATAATGGCAGTGGTGGCTTCGTGTTGAGTAGTCAACACCGTTGTGGCCTGCTGTATCAAGCGTTCCAGCTTGGCATTCGATTCAAGCAACGAATTGTGAAACTGTGTTAGTAACTCAATAATCTCTGCGTGGGGGATTGATCTCGACTTGGTTGCTGCTCTCCCCACCAGAGCTGTAATGAATGTAGGTGTGGCTGGCTAGCACTCTCCACAGACTGGACCCTGTCTCTCCCTCTTACTTCCACACGTGCGATCCTATGCAGGCAGAACCGGCGGCCGTTCCTTTTGCACTCACTGCCGGCGGCGGTTCGTCTGTGCAACGGGATAGCTCTGATTGCTCAGGATAGAAGACACATATAGCACTTAGCTATGGGCATTGACTTGAGCCAAACGTTGCGTTGGCGGTCACATAGAAAGGTAAAGATGAGGGATGCGTAGCATGCCCCCTAGAGTCGAGGGACGCGTAGCGTGCCCCCTTCTCTTGCACTTTACACGGTCTTGCTCACAGCTCTTATAGTGACACCTTAGAACTTGACAAGGCATCGCAGTCCGTTCGCACCCCCCATGAGTTGCGTCTCCGACGCTGCTCACCCGGAAGATGGCACGATAGGACAACAGAAAATGTTCCGCCGCAACGTTGACATTGAAAATCAGAGCTTTGCATCCCAATTAGAAACGTTGTGACACTCATCTACGTCAGTAACGATCCCCTGAAATGGCAAACGAATCAGGCGTCACCGAAGAAAGAAGCATTCGCGATGGCATTCCATGGGCGAAGCTCAGAGGTCACGAACTGATAGGCGAGGAAGACCAAGCGTTGATTCATCTCCATCTTCGCGTGGTCGCAGGATCGCGGTCCCAGGGCCGGAGGTTTTCCTCTGGATACTGTTCCCGATGCTTTCCCTTGTCCTTGCCTTTGTTTCGGCCTTTGCCGGCGGTGTAGTCGTAGTAGGAGTTGGAGTTCCAGCCTCCATGTTGCTCACCTCCGGTTCTTCCACGCCCTTTTGAAGGTCCCTTGGATGAAGAAGCGCTTTCACGTTCCTCCGTAGTGACAGGCGTGTCCAGGATGGATGTACCACCTGGAGGAAGATAGTCAGCGGCCGAAATGTGGTGTAGGGCTTCAGTACGCTTGGTCGTCGGGTTTTGCTGTCTCTCAGCCTTGGATCTATTCAATCTGTCCATGAAATGCGCAGGCATTTGCACACTGTGGTCCACCAGCAAGCCGATGGTCTGGACTGACTGATCAGAATGAGTCAGCAGAATACCGACGGGGTCGATGTACAAGAAGTCCACTGGTCCAGTTGGCGTTGGTCGTAGCACTGAGAATTGTTGGTGTCCCGTCACCATTGGAATCACCTCGCACAGGACGTTCAGGCAACAAAAGTGCATAGCCTTCAC